CACACACAGAGGAGACACAGAGAGGGAGAAAACCGGTGTATACCTAGAGCACGCACAATGGGGAAACAGAGGGCACTTTTGCAATCGAATTACGAGAAGTGGTCTGGCTCTCTCCTTTCGTCCTCGCTGGTTTTCGTAATTTACGAACCTGACTATTTTTTCATAATACCCTCGCGACTACCGGTAGTCCTACCAGTGTGGTATCTTTGCAACACAGCCTTGAACTGGCTTGCGAACCTCCGGAGCAGGAGCAGGAACCGTATGTGTATCTTTGCACGCCAATCAAGCGCCTTGAACTGGCTTGCGAACCTCCGGAGCAGGAGCAGGAACCGTATGTGCATCTTTGCACGCCAATCAAGAGCGCCTTGAACTGGCTTGCGAACCTCCCGAGCAGGAGCAGGAACCGTATGTGTATCTTTGCACGCAGCCGAGTGCAGATCGTACCCCATTGTACGCAAACAGAGATTTTTTATTTTTTATTTATTTATTTATTTATTTATTTATTTTAAACAAACAGAGATTTTCACATCCCATGGATCGTGTTCCTACTTCTGACATCACAAGAACCCCAACCCCACATCCCGATGGATCGTGGCCCCAATTGCAGAGAGACACCTTCACTTATTCCTTGAATTTCCTTCTTTTTGTCTTTTTGTCTTTTTTTTCCCTGTTTAGGACATTCCGAGCACCCAAAACTCCGATGGGGGGCGGCAAACGCGTGGTGCCTTTGCCACATGGAAGAAGGTGGGATCGTCCTCGGGCGAAACGTAACTTTGGAATCGGAGTACTAGAGAGGTCGTCTAGCAACACGGAAGAAGAAGGACAGTAGACAACGTTGGGGACGCTAGGAACTGGACGCAAGGACGGAAAAAATAACGTTCGGGAAAAGATTATAATGCTGGTGGGGAAGAAGATACAGAGGGGGAGGGGGGGAGAAGAAGAAGATACAGAGGGGGCCTTGCCACGGGCACAGATGGCGGGGAGAACGTAATGCAAAGCACCGTTCTTTTGTGGTGCGTTGGCTGAGGTTTTAGCCCCTTAGGCCATACCTTTCTTCAGTGCTGCGTTCGTCGGCTGAGGTTTTAGGCGTGCTGTCCTCTGTCTCGAACTCTCACCTCGCGCGGGGCTGTCTGCATGGATTGCGTAAAGGAAAGGCGCTCGTCGGGTTTGGGTTGGTGCAAGATCCGGCCTCCGTCATCGGTCCGCTCCCGCGATCACCCCTACCCCTAATTGCAGTCAACCCCCTTGCCAACACAATTTTCTCTTTTGCCCCTATCTCGGGAGTCCTGCCAATGCGCGATCTTTGCGGCACGCTCCTGTTCAACCCCCAACAACTTCGGACCGGACCCTTGCGGCCCTACCGTGTGAACCCGAAAACAAGGTACCTTGTATTCAAGTTACCTCCGGAAAATGGGTTCTGAGAAATCGCTGTTATTTTCTGAAGAGAAGATAGCCTCGAAGAAAAGGTTCGGTCCTTCGGGACATCCGTTAAAATTGGAACGATACAGAGAAGATTAGCATGGCCCCTGCACAAGGATGACACGCATAAATCGAGAAATGGTCCAAGTTTTTTTATAAGGAAAAAAAAAAAAAAAAAAAAGGTTCGCAGCTCGTATTCGAATACAAAATCATAATGGTGTATCTTTCCATGTTCTACCAGAAAATTAGAAAATTCACTCTCAATTTGCACATGTCCAGAGTAGAGGAGCCATGCCCAGTCTACTTTGCACGAACTCAAAAACCCATTTGCTGCCCATTAAAAAAGAGACAGGGGCCGGCCTTTCCACATGAAGACCTGTGCCTGAGAGCCTTACCCAGGTTAGCTTTTGACGGGACCAATTGGGACCAGAGGTGAGAACGCATACACACAAAAAGGGGAAGAACAGAACAGAAACGAGGAGGCAGAGAGATGACAAATGATCAAGAGAAATGATTCAAGGAAGAACCTAAAATTCCATGAATTATATCCTAAGGAACAGCTAAACCCTAGACTACGATGAGCTATGAAAGCGGGAAAGTAAGCTGAGAAAGGACTGACCTCTGTACCTAATCTAGATTTAGTTATTCGAAGGGCCTATTACAACCCCCCGAACCTAATGTGGGACGCCGGGCTATCATCGGGTGACCTTACCCCGCCTGCGGATTGTATCAACTGAGAGGCCAGGTTACTACCCCCCACCTCGCCCCCCCCTCCCCAAACCCCACTCCCCCCCCCCCCCCCCCTCCCACACACATCTCCCTCGCCCCCACTCTCCCCTCGCCCTCCCCTTCTCCCTCCTTTCAGCCCCCATCGCTTCCCCCCCACCCCAAAAGCACCACACCACCTAAGTTTCTGCTCTAACTGCTAGACCGGTTATTGCTTCCTCCGCTCACTACTTGCTGCTCAACCATGGAGCCCTCTTCGAACATGATTGATGTCTCCTAAATGGTGGAGATGCAAAGTACACATCAGCGACGCCTAATGGCGCCACGCCTCGTCCAGATATTTGATATTGAAAGCCGTCGTGAGTAGCATTCATTCAGCTTTCAGCCGCTGCTGCGCCTCCATTCCTCACACCATTTCGTGTAGGTGTTTAACCCGGCCATAGCTGGGAGGGCTTCAGCAAATTCCCCCAATAGTCAGGCCGCGTGCCTGCCTCGGTGTCAGCGACATCGGTTCTCCCGAACCGATAGCACATCGCTGAGCACTTTTGCGCCACACGTGGTTAACGGGGACCCCCACTTTCGGCTCCATACTAACAGGCCGAAAACTGAAATAGGGTTTGGGGGTCAATTTTTTTATTTTTTTATTTTGCCTGTTTTTGTTTTGGTTCAAGGTTGTTGTGCACCAAATTTGGATGAAATTTCCTCTGCTAAGGTTTCTGAAATTTCCCCCACTTTCTGTTTTTGTTTTGGTTCAAGGTTGTTGTGTACCAAACTTGGAGCATTGGAATTTCCTCTGCTAAGATTTCTGAAACTGAATGTTGTTGCATGAAAGTGCACTTTAGTGTTGCTGTTTCATAGGTTTTTTATTTTATTTTTTCCTAGGCTGTTTTTCTGGGTGCCCGGGCACCCAACTTGTGCCCGGATACATGCCCGGGTGCCCGGTCGGGCATGACCCTCGAGCAGGGTTCCAGGCAACCCCAGCGCAAGGGAAGGAAAAAAAAAAAAAAAAAAAAAACGAACGTCAAAAAATTCCAAAAACAACATATGTTGTGTAGAATTGCAATACAAACAACTATTCGCCGAGGGTCACATCAGAATTCCTCGCCGAATCGGAGATAAAAAATAAAACAATGAAATCACACTAAGACAACCCCCTTTAAACCCCCTTAGCCCCTTTAAAACAAATTTATACCCCCCTTTTACAGCCAACTCTCAAAAAATGAAAAGAGTCCGCATTTGGAGTCCTCTAGGAGGGCGCAGAAAGGCAAAATATATATATATATAGGCGACCAGCCGGGCTGCCCGGGTCGCAGGTATCCAGCCCGTGCAAGGACCAAGGACGGTCCCAGCAAAAAAAAAAAAAAAAAAAAAAAAAAACTATATTATGCAAAAAAATAAAGTGAACAACTTTTGTCTGAGGGTCACATTAAAATTCTTTACCTGAAAAAAGGGGCTCTGAGATCGACAGGAGCCGCGAGTGTTCCAGTAGCGCTAATGCAGCGCTAATCGATGCGCTAATTTTTAGTGCACAGGTTGGAGCTGGCGCGAGCACTACACGAACACTCAAGGCCGGGCGAGCACGGCGGTTGGCGAATTTTCGCTCTAAGTCCCGTGTTCGCGGGTTGTACTGCTTCGACCATCAACACGAGTCACCGCCATGATGTCCGTGGTGTATCTAGTCTTCGTGCTCGGCACTTTCCGAGCGGGCTCCGGGTAGGAGGAAGGCAAGATGAGTTGACCTCTTAGAATGGAATACTACGGTTCTTATACTGTCGTAAGCATATGTGAAGAGGATTGAAGTTGTGAAGGTTTGAAGGAATTAGCAATAAGCGCTCGCCGAGAGGCGCTCACTTTTGATTCGTCGAGGTGGGAATAACGTTCGTGAAGAGTAGCAAAGAAGTTCGTAAGCGGAGAAAAGTCTTGTTTAGCGTGCACGACAACAGAGTCAGGCCAGCATGGCCGAAGAAGATAGAGCTTCCCGCAGTCAGCACAGGAGAGGTCGGTCTCCTCCAAGCCACTCAGATATTCCAGTTTCAGACGAGGATAGACTTCGATTGCTTATCTCGAAGTGCTACGACGACGGGATCCTCCCAGAGAAGTTCATGCATGGTGAGTGGAAGATGGAAGTTGGAGTCAAAACTTTTGTGGTCAACCCACGCCTGGACGAGTTGACCACAAATTGGTTAAAAGAAAGAACTGTGACAATTATTTTTCAAGGCGCAGCGAGGGACTTGCCAATGAAGGTGAGGGAGGACCTAATCAGAGCGTACGAAAATGGGTGGTACAGGCAAAGAATCTTTGATCGCACTACCAAGAGAGGGAGGGTACACGCGGAAGGGCCGAATGTTGTCTCCTACGTGGCGAAATCGAGGGAGGTGGCACAATGGATGATTGCGAAAGCAAAGGACAATATTGTAATTAGAGGGGTCGAATACAACATGATTTTCAAGCCTTGGCTCACAAGAACAAAATTAGAGGAGAGAAGAAGAATGGAGGACGACTCCAAGTTCTGGGTGATGGCAATCAGGGTCCCGCTACGAAGAAGATTGGAGGACGACTCCAAGTTCTGGGTGATGGCAATCAGGGTCCCGCTACGTGCTATGTTCCACGTGGAGAGTATGATTGAGACTTCGATGGGCCACGTCATCAACAGTCTTCCTCCGGAACATGACAAAACGAGACCGAAATTGATGAATTTGAAATTTGACCTGGTAAGAGAAGCAAAGGAGAATTTTGAAGTTTAACTGCCGATTAGACGGGGAAGTGGAGTATTGCAGATCAAATTCGTCTGCAAACATACTCCATGGTGCACGAGATGCAGGTGGTGGTACCACACAGTGGAAGATGGTTGTCCGAGAGCGGAGGAGGACGACGTGGGAGGGAGTAACGTCCAGAGGCAAGGCGACAATTTCTCAAATCGGAATCAGGGACAAGCGGAAGATCGGCATATAAGGATGGCAGCGAGGGAAGTCATCCCACTGCAGGAGGGACAGGGACAACAGGAAAGATCAGGGGCGGCAGGCCATTCACGCACCCAAGGGGCATCCCAGGACGCAAGGAGAGGGACAGTCGGGCAGAATATCGCCCGTAACAGTCGGTCAGTGGCTCCTCAGAATTCAAGGGGATGCGCTGGGGCTTCTCTGGACCAAAACAGACGCGAGTACTTGAGGGAACTACCCAAAACACAAACTCCAAGAAGGGAGCAGCAACAAGTGCATTACTTACCTTCTCAACAAGTGCCAAATACGGACTTTCATCCGTATATCCCCCCATGGGGTCCGATGGGCTGGCAGGGCATGGGTTACCATCAACAAAACCCGGCGCTAACAGGCCATATGCCACAGTTCTACAACTGCTATGGCACAGGTCAAGGCTTAAATTATGTGGTGCATGAGGTCGCACGAAGGGAACTCGCAGTGGACCACGGAGGAAGAGAACGTCAAGCGAGGTGCAGGCAGGAAGAAGGTACATCCAGGCCAAGGAGACAAGAGGTGGTTCACTCCGACGAGGAAGCTAACTCCGAGGGTATTCCTGAGGCACCAACATCGGAACTCTCCGGCATGGAGGCTTCGCCAGGAAGGATCCCCGAGGGCGTAGATGCAGCCGGGAGAGACGGTCGGCAGTTTGAGGAACAGATTCTGCTCCCGCTCGTTTGCACAATGCAGGATCAAAAGGCTTACGTTATAGGTCTCCTTGATAGAGCGGACAAGCTGATCCTCCCAACGGGGGGTCTGACGGACATTCCGATGCAGTCAACCGTTAGAGAATAAGTGAAGTACCTGTTTGCGGATCGTTTCAAATTTAGATTGTTTCCAGAGATTTACATGCCTAAGCTTAGAGTAGAACTGGACGGGGGTAAGGTGGTCAGATACACAATCGTCTTTATTGACGCGAGGATCTCTTCGGAGGCCTGGCCGGGTCTGAGACAGGTAGGTTTGGACTCTTTCCCGTTGGAGGCCCTGTCTGAACCCCTGATGGAAATGTTGGCAGAGGTCGTAGTGGAACCGGGGGTACTAGCCTCTTTTCTGGCTGACTTGAACCCAAACATGCCGAGATCAAGTAACCTCATGTCGAGGGTCTTTTGTGACTGCCTTACCACTGAATGGGCAACCGCCACGCAGACCCAAGGCTTAGGGGAGGCACGAGGTACCAACCCCCCAGCAGCAGGAATCCAATCTGCAGTTCCATGAAGCTCTTTGAATGGGTAAAATTCGAATAGCGACCTGGAACGTACAAGGGCTGGGGGATTCCAACGGGAAAAGGAAGGGAACACATCTCAAAAGTTGGGCGCACCGGAAGAGGATAGATATCCTGCTACTACAAGAGACTAAGCTATCGGAGACAAAACTGATACAGCTAAGAGACTGGTGGGACGAACCTCAGTTGTGGTCCCCAGCCAGAGAATCGAAAGGGGGAGTAGCAATCCTCATCCACAACCGGATCGAGGCTAGATTACTTGACAGTGACAGCGATGTATGGGGTCGGTGGTGCTAGGTAAAACTGGCCATTGGCAACGAGGACTGGCTCCTTGCGACAGTTTATGCTCCGAATAAATCAGGGGAACGCAGTAGTTTTTTTGAGTTGCTACCGTACGTTCTCCCAAGGGGTGATCGTATGGTGATAGCAGGAGACTGGAACACAGTGTGCACACCAGGGCTTGATTCAGAGAAGGAAGAAGGGATGACTCCAAATCGGTGGAAACTCTTGAAGTGGATGGAGAAATGGGATTTGCAGGATATTTTCAGGGATCTCTACCCTACAACACAGTCGTTCACTTGGGTGGGCCGCTCACCTCAAACAACAGGGGTTACTCGACAGCTTGACTTCTTTCTACTCTCGTCAACGGCAAGAAGTGATGTCCTCCAAATCGAAATAGACAATTATCCCCTGTCTGATCATAAAGCAGTGGTGATGACCTGCACCTTGGCGGCGGTGGCAACCAGAGGCCTGGGTTATTTCCGGCTGAACACAGAGCTGCTAAATGACGAGGGGATAACTTCCTGGATCTCGAATTTCTGGCTTCACTGGAAGGGGTTCAAACAACATTGTGAGTCCGTTGCAGAGTGGCTGGACGCAGGATTGAGAGTGATATCTCTCAAACTCGATTCTTTCTCTCAGATTGCGGCTTACCATCGCAACAAGGAGGAACTGGACCTGAAAAACAGATTGGAGGAAGCGGAAAAAATGCTGGGACAGCACCCTGTATCGGACCTGTTCTGGGCAGAGGAGCGCAAGGAAAGAATGTTGGACTAGGACAGATGGGAACTGCAGAAACAAGAGAGGTTGACTAAGATCCTAGAAATCAAGGGCGTCATCACGTCGGACCGGGTAACGAAGGAGACTTTCAAACGCCTCCTCCCCAAGTCTAAGGCGGTGCAGATGAGAGAACTGGTTCTTCCACATCAATTAGGGAAACCAATGGCAACTTCGAACGAAGATATGTGTTGCTACGCAGTGGACTACTACCGGGATATCATGACAACACGCAGACCGTATGACGACCTAGACGATAACATGGCGGAGGGATCAACACTATGGAACAATGTGACTACACGCCAATCAGACAGTGGAAAAGTATGGTTGGACAGACCGGTAACACAAGAAGAACTGACTGCCACACTCCAGGTCATGGCCCGATGGAAAGCGCCGGGAGATGACGGATTGCCGGTAGAATTTCACGGAGCATGCTGGGAGGACCTGAAGACGAGCCTGGTGGAAGTCTACAATGCTGTCCGAGAAGGAGGAAGATTGGGGCGGACTATGACAAGAGGAATCATTTCGTTACTCTATAAGAAGGGTGAACGCAGTGAAGTGCGGAACTAGGGCCCAATATCTCTTCTTAATGTAGTCTACAAACTGTTGGTCAAGACTTTGGCCAACAGGCTTGCTGACTACCTTCCCGGTCTAGTCCATCGAGATCAGGGAGCATTCGTGTGTGGCCGCTCAATTTTTGAGAACATGGTGATAGCTATCGAGGTGCTAGAACTGATCGAGAGGGAGGAACAAGACACGGCAGTGCTGTTATTGGACCTAGAAAAAACCTATGACAGAGTTAACTGGACTTTCGTCCTAACTACTCTGCGCTTCATGGGCTTTGGTGAGTGTTTCTGCCAGTGGGTAAAGGTGTTGTATGGGCTGTCCACTGCAGCAGTCTGTGTACATGGAAAAATCTCGGAAGAGTTTAACCTCTCACGCTCTCTACGGCAGGGATGCCCTTTGGCACCCCTGCTTTTTGTACTCTACCTCGAACCCCTTCTTTGCAACATCCGTGCTCATCCATATATTATCGGCCTATGCGGACTTGGAGGGAAAGAAAGCCGGGTGAAAGCCTTGGCGGATTATCTTTTTGCAATTTATGCAAACAGCGATCGTTCACTGGGGGCATTGAAGAAATGCCTGGTGGACTTCGCAGAACTGTCGAAGGCAGCAGTTAATTGGAATAAGTCTGTTTTTTTCCTACCTAAACAGTTCTCACTGTCTGTCATGTGGGGTATGGAGCGAGTGGAAGCAGACAAAGCGGAACGGTTTTGGGGCATACAGGTGGCACTCGGTGATTGCTCGGCCTCCCAGGACATCATTTTACAAGAGATCTCCAAAAGGGTGAAAAGTTGGGGAAAGGCTCATCATCTCTCTCTCTCATTGGGAGAGCGCTTGCTGTTATGGTCTCGGTTTTTGCCCTTCTCTGGTACGTAGCAACGGTCCGAAGGCTAAGTCCACCACTCATCAAGACTGTAAGGAAGGTAGCAAGAAGGTTTATTTGGAAGCCAAAGGGAGACCCGGAGAGAGGTTTTATCTCCAAGGTGGCTTGGGATACCATATGCACCTCAAGAGAAGAGGGAGGTTTAGCTCTGACAGACCCAGGCGCTCAAAACACAGCCTTGCTGGCTAAGTGGATTATCCGGGTGGCCATAGCAGAAGAACAAGCAGACTGGATTATGCTGGCAGAAGCCCTGTTGGCTAACGAGTGGAAACTGGCTAGGCCTTCGGATGTTTGGGTAGCGATCATGTCAGACAATTACTCCTACAAACGTCCAAGATCAAGGTTTTGGAGGGAGGTCCTGCTAGCCTGGAGGAAAAGCAAGCCAACAGGATGCAGCAGCCCCACTACCAAGGAGGAAGTTCGCAGACAGTGTTTGTTTGAGAACAACCACATCAGAGGGGTGGATGGAAAGTGACTCCCGCTGGCCAGAGAGTCGGGTGCCTTCGGCCAGAGTTGGCTACAAAAAGGGATCTCGACTGTGGGAGACCTTTGGGATGATACCACAAATAGCTGGAAGTCAAGTCTGCAACTGAAGCGCATACGGGGACAATTGCCCAGGCAAGAGGAGCGTCTGCATACAGTGTTGGAAGCGATCCCTGATCAGTGGAAGAGGCTTTTAGGTCCAGAGTGTGTGGACCCCCTCGGTACTTGGTACAAATGGGACAATGGGGAGGCGGTATGGTTCTGCAGGTTGGAAAGATGGACAGAGGATGGTCTGGGCAAATGCTGGCTGGAAACCTATAAGAGGATCCTCCTGAATCAACCAGCGCTGGAAAGATACGGAATACAGCTGATGTACGGGCGTGCAGACTTGAAAGAAATCAGGGTGAAACTCAAACCTCCACAACAGGAAGGGTTACCCCACATCCCCTACCTGGTAGGGCACGGAGTAACACTTCGTGAACTTAGGATCGACCCAGCAGTTTGGTTATGGCAAGTGGACGAAGACTGTATCAAGGGGTTGGAGTCGCTATCCACTGCGCTGATTATGAAGAGGAAAAAAAACCCTGGTTCACTTTGCAAAAAGATCGCCCTTCGCTGGGAAAAAGAGGTTCCCGACCTCGCCCCTCCGTCAGAGATGGAACTGTCCAGATTGTGGGCCCAGCTAAAGGACATCCCATCTCAGAAGATGGCCTCTCTCCTGTGGCTACAATCGCACCTCTCAGTTCCCACTGAGAAAGGGACGGAGATTGATACCCGGTGTGATAGATGCCAGACCATTCAGGAATCAATGAGTCATCTGTGGTGGGAATGTCCCAAGTCAAGAAAATGGTGGGACTGGTGGGAGAAATACTGGAGGTGGATTACAGGTGATGAGATTTTCACGGGGCAGAGATGGGTCCTTTTGGGCGGACTACCTCAGAACCAAAGTAGTAGAGAAGGTTGGGGCTATGTTGCTCAAATGGCTAGAGTGGCGATGCTGTGGGTCATATGGCTCGACAGGAATAGCCTCAGATTCAGGGGTGAATCCCTCCCAGAGAAACAAGCAGAGGCAACATTCAGAGGACTCCTGGTCACAACCATCAGGGCGGACTGGTCCAGGAAAGCAGATGGAGGCAAACAAAGAAACGGGTTGGGGTGGTTTCGGAATACCTGGGCCCGGAGCGACAAAATAGTTTCTATCTCCACGGATGGGAGACTGGTCTTCAGTGGTTGGTTAGAACATGGGTAGGAGGTAGGTTAGTTAGGATAAGGAACCAGGGCACTCGGTTTCAGTCGACGGTTGCGGTAAACCGTAAAAGGGGGGAGGTGCAGGGAGAGTGCCCAAAGGTTAGGACAGAACCAAGGTTCCCCTCGGTCGAAGCTGGGCCGAGTTCAGACCGTTGTTAGGTCTGTGGAACACTAGGTTAGTTAGAATAGGGAGTAAGAGGTAGTAGGCCCAAGGGAGGTTTCATAAGACTACAATCATGGATGCAGTTACTGAGTAAGGAAGTACAGTCAAATCGGTTACGAGAGGTTAAATGGTTTGCTCAGTTGAAAGAAAAGGGCATAGTTCCCCAGTCAATGGACTGTAAGCTAAACTGGCTGATGCTGCCAGAATAACCCCGGGTTGAATTGTGAGGTCCCTGACCTCGACCTGTTC